TCAAAAGGGGTGGTATCTCTACGTTTGGTGGAGGATTGGTGATCAGTGGTGAATGGGATGAGTAGAACTGGAAAATGGTATCTTCAATTCCCTTATGGTCATCTACCCACTCCCATGCCTCATTTTGGAGGGTCAGGATCATATTCCTTCTTCTCCTGTTGAGAGTGGAGGTGTGAAAGAATTTTGTGTTGGCATCCCCCTCCATAAGCCACTTTATAATAGATTTATTTTTTTCAGAATTCCTTTTCACTTCTCAGGATGGCTGAATAGTCTTCTTAGAGTTGACCCTCTATATGTTGGAGGTATGGGTTGAAAGGGTAAGCATTGGATTTTTGGATACCTCCTAGCCTAGCTAGTAAATTTTTCTTCTTATGGAAGATGTTACTAAAGACTGTCTTGTTCCAAGTAGTAACTTGGTCTTGGAATTTGGTAGTTCCCTCAAGAAGGTAATAGTTACCCTCATAGGCCTACTGCACCACATTGATGAGGAAGGGGTGGCTGCACAACATGGGCTCAAATCTAAAAGGTTTAGTGAGGTTTCTAGGCCTAAATCAAAGATTATAAACATTGGGCAATGATCAGAGTGGGTTTTAGGAAGGTGGCTAATTGTACTTGAAGGGAATTCTTGGATCCAATCCTCATTAGCAAAATACATGTTTAGTCTTTCCAGGATTAACTGACTCCTATTCCTATATCTCATGTTAGTCTAGGTAAATTTGCTACCTTTGAAACCATGGCCAATTAGCTTAGACTGATTTATACATTGCTAGAAAAGAATAGCCCTAGGAGTAGAGATGCAATCCCCCCCCCCCCCATACTTGTCTCTAGCTCTCAGGACTTCAGTGAAGTCCCCCTTACTAGCCAGCTTCCCTGATAGTTATCAAGGATAGTTCTGAGTTGCTGCCAGAGGTTCCTCCTAAATGCATAAGTGTTACTTACATAAACAATAGTGAAAAGCCAAGAATTTGAAGAGGGGATAATGCCCTCGGATGTGGTGGAGACTTCATCAATTTTGAGTATATCATCTTTTTCACATGATGACAATGCCCCCAGACAGGCCAATAAATGGGCTTTGGATTTGTCCAGAGAATCCCAGTTCCTGAATCAGGTGTTTATGCTCAGTCATCCTAGTTTCTAGGAGGACTAGCATAGCAGGCTTGTGCATTTTGACCATCTCAGCACAGTGCCTCCTAAACTCACTACTGTTGGCACCCCTAGCATTCTAGATTTCATTAACAGCTTGGGGCGTGGTGGGGACTTCCTTTTCAGGAATTTGGCCTTCCCTTTCACAGGGTTGGCTTCCAGGTTCACTTGTACAGAGCTAGCATGTTTGTCTTCCTAAATCATAACTGGGCTTAGCCTTATAGCTGAGTCTCCTGAGTTTGGATTTGAGGCTAACCTTAAGCTTACCCTGCACAGTTTCATACTCCTTGGGCATAGTGCGATAAGCATTTCTTCCCCAGGCCCTCTGAACTCTATTAACTCCTCATGTTGTAGGAGCATTGCCTTTTTTTAGCACTCCCAGCTTTGCAATCAGGACCTCCAGCTCTGTGTTGGAGGCTTGTAGGTGCTCGTGGACCTTTTCTGATCCTGCCATCTGGGTTTCCCTGGATAGTGGGGTCTTTGTCCATTTGGTGTCCATTGGGAGAATGAGGGGCTTGCAATCTCCTCCCCTGGTGTCACTTGGGGGAAGAGGGGCAAGGAGTGGCTGATCTGGTCCAACAGTGCACTCAGCTGGTTTGGTGTCATTATTTGTTGGTTGAGTGCTACGTGTGCTTGTACCAAGGTTGCCAGCCACAGTTGATGCCCATGGTTCAACATTGCATGATTGAGGCATGCAGTGGCTACCTTGGCTAAGTAATGAGGGTTCTGGATTACTATAGTGATTGGCAGAGACCCTATTGAGAGGGTCAGTGGAAAGGCTTCTCCCTGCAATGCCATTTCCATCCAAGAGGTGGGAAGGTGGAAGTGAGGTTGTTGTCACCATTAGAGGCACTGGTTCCTCCACTAGGTTCTTGGCCTGAGGGGGAATTTGCATGTTTTTCTAATTCTGATTATTTTTCATCGGAGTTGGGGGGGTAGAAGAGTATTGGATTGTAGAAGGCATCCCTTTAGTAGTTCTTAAGGCATAATTTGCCTTAGTTGGGTTTTGTGACACGATTTCCCCATCATTACAAATCTTTTGGAGGCACTGGGGACTGTCAAGTCAATAGAAGGCTCAATTTGGTGGGAGGGGAGAAGTGAATGGAGCTCTGAGTGGGTAGCTCTCTTAGAGAGAGGAGCTCTCTTTCCCCTTCATCAAATCTGAGGCTATCTCCTATGGATTTGACCCCAGTCATGGACCCCATGATATGACCCTTGGAGAAGGTGGTTGGTATCATTTTTGGATTAGAGGTGGGTATATCAAAGTTACCTCTATTAGTTGTTACCTCTTTCCCTTGGAACATGTGGTCTTTCAAAGTGGAGCGTGTTTGGTTTTGGCGTGTGGGCTTCATGTGCCCATTCTTAGAGTTGGGTTTGGGCACGTGCTCAGGTTTTGGGCTAAAAGCTTTAACCTCAAAAGGGTTTAAAACTCGATCAAGGTTTGTTTGACCATCCCATTGCAGACCCAAGTTTGTTGGCCCATCTGGGCACAGGTCTTGGCCTATTGTCTTTTCTATGGGCCTGGGCTTTTTGTCCTGTTAGGGTTTCAGCCCTGGTCATCGTTTCCCCCAAGTCCACAAGGATCGCAAACTTACCTGCCGCTGGCATTACAGGGCCATTCTCCCGACTATCTGCCTTCTCAACCGTGTGTTCTTCTTTTGGTGGATGGTATTCTCTTGATTTCCTTCTGGTCCGTCTTGGGAACTCCACTATAATCCAATTGTTGCCTCCCTTTAATAGTGGTTCAGCCGTGGATGATTTCGGCTTCTTTTGGTTCTAGGGTTCGTGTATCTTTGCATCTCCACGTTGCGTGGCCTATCCTCCCACACCCCTTACACATGATTCTCTCCCCTTCGTATTCGATTTGTTGTCTGTGCTCTCCAATTACGACGGAAGTTCTAAGTGGGACGTCTATGGGAACTTGAATGCAAATCCTTGCATATCTACCTCTGAGAGTGGCAGATGTGCAAGTATCGATCTTCAATAATTTCTCTACTTTTCTTCTCACTATTTCTAGAATCTCCTTATCGTAGAACTCGGTTGGTAATTGGGGCAATCTGATCCATATGGCTATTAATTGGATCTTGGACTTTTCTGGAACAAAATTGGGTTCCCAATTTCTGATTGAGAGGAAATGGCCCATAACGAACCATGGGCCTCCGTGTAGGGCCTTTTCCATATTGACTTTTTCTTGAAACTTCACAATGAAGAAGTCCCAGCCCAAGTCGATGATCGTTAGGTGCTCACTAGGGCACCATAGTTGTTGCGGCTTAGGTTTGAGTATTTGATAGGGAATCTTCTTCCCAAATACCTTGATGATCACTGAGAATCTCCACTGGTGGTAGATTCTCATTTTTTGGTCATGGGTTAGGAGGATTTCCTCCGCATTTTCTTCTTCTAATGGAGCTTTCAGAGCTACCTCCACTTGGTGGTAACTTGTGAGGTAGACACTTGACTTTGTCAAGTGATTGTCTTCCAAAATTTCTTTGAAGGAGTTCTTCATTGAAGAAGCTTAGATATCCATTGGTGCTACCGTGGGATCCGGTGCGTCGGGCAGTTTTCGTAGTGGTGAGGGGAGTGAGTCCTGGATAGGGGGTGGGTCGGGCAGTTTTCGTAGTGGTGAGGGGAGTGGGTCCTGGATAGGGGGTGGGGGTGGGGCCACGTTAGGGGGGTATAATAATTGAAGAGAGAGGTCAGAGTCTCTCTCTCTAGATGAGAGGTGCAATTACACTCTTCAATTCTCAAGGGGAGGTGAGAATTGGTGGTAATTACACTGTGTAATTACAAGGTTACTTTTTTATTTATTTTTATTTTACTCTATTTTCTTTATAACTTTCATTTTCATTATTTTAATTTATTTTTTATTTTGTTTTTACCTTTTCATTTATTTTTAATTTTAAAATATATTTTCTTTGTACATTATTTATCTTTTATTTTTCTACATTTACTTCTTGCGATTCCATGTAATTGCTCGTATATTATATTTTCTTCATTTAGTGTAACTACGTTATTATTCTAGTTTTTGAAACTACATCTCCTAATATTAGAAATAACGAGTCATTAACGAACTTGGCATGTAAATTAAAGTAAAAAATGAGGTTGTAAACTTATTATATTTCCTAACCTTAAGTTGTATTGGAACCTATTTTTGTTATGTTGGAATTTGACATATGTTAAACTATTTATTTTAGATTTTGAAATTTGGTTCCAGTTTACTTATTTTAGTAGTATTGGCTCGCTATTTCACATTGCACATTGTTCATTTTTTAGTTCGAATCGATAGATTATTTTTGTTAGACATTAATAATGTTATGACATTATATTTACAAATATTAATTTATTTTACCTAACTTGCATTCCGTGATGTTCTTACCAAATATATATTTTAGTTTTTATAATTAATTAAACTGAATATTATTAATTTAAAAAAATATATCAATTATTTTTACAATATTAGTTATAAATATATGATTACTAATTAATGTATATTCAAGAAAAAATATGCATTTTAGATACCAAAACTAATATCATTTATGCTTATTAAAAGTCATTTATAGGCATATATTTATTATATTAACTTTTAATTTTTGATAATTACTTCATTTAAAATTTAATCTAACTGTATTATTACAGTTGTGCAACCAAACAATATGCTTGTAATTACACTGTAATTATATTATAAAAAACAAATAGGTCATCTTAATTACTATATTATGTAATTATTAGGCTGTATAATTAATATCCTTAGTAATTATACCAATTTCAATTACCGGGTAGCTTTTCAAACGGACACTAAAGTCTAATAGCTTTTTAAATCCTGGCTAAATAGTAAGGGTAGAAAATGGCTAACCATTAGCAATTTTGTCTCAAGCCCGAAAACTATATACGGGTGAAGATTAAGGCATCAGCATAAACCCTCCAAAATCCAAAGATCTCTCTGCCGCCTCTTCCTTCTCTCCGCCTCTTCCTTGAAGTAGTGAGCAGCTTCTAGGTTTGACAAGAAATGGTGCGACCGTACAAAGTTAAAGGGGAAAAGAGGAAAAAGAAAGGAGAGAATTATGATAAGGAAGAAATAGAGGAACCTTTGGAAGAGGAGTCAGCAAAAAGAGTGAGAACAGAACACACCGAAGCAGACACTGAGGCAGCTGAAAGAGTTGTAGATTTACTGGCTGGCATTCCGGTTGTTTCAACTGATCAAAGCACCAAACCTGGTGTTATTTTCATCATTGAAAGAGCTTCTCTGGAAATTGCTAAAATTGGAAAGGTCTGTCTTTTGTTTGTTCACTTTTGGTTTTGATTACACAGGCTTTGAATGTTGCTTGTAGCTTATTCAGCGTTATATGCTCATCCTTTGCTTTGTCGAAGTTAACCCATTGTGTGTAATGATATATTCCTCTTGTTGATGCAGACTTACCAACTTCTCAACTCAGATGAACATTCCAACTTTCTTAAGAAGAATAATCGAAACCCTTCTGATTATCGACCTGATATTGCTCATCAGGTTAGTTGACTTTTCAACTCCAGGCCTATCTTGTTGCCTATAGTATGAACTCTATGATGTTCCTGTAACAAACTGGATATTGCACCCAAAGCAACTGATTGTATTAACTCACCAAACTGAATTACAATAACCAAATGTCCTTAGAACAATAGAAACAATACTGAAGGAAATAAAGACGAGATGAGAAAATTGCAACAGGAAGCTAAAGAAGAAAGGGAATGAGATACAGATTCAGAAGAGGAGATGAGAAGCACAGACTTGAGCCGAAGCTTCAACATAATTTGTGTAACCCTTCATTCTACCCGCTAGTCCTTTTTAAATAGTTGCTAGTTGGGCCTGGATCCCAACTCAATCTTTGTGAAGGTCTTCTGGTCCTATTTCTTGGCCCAATAGCTGCTTGTGTGACAGCATTGCAGGTATCCATATTGGGCTGAGGCTGGTTCATAACAATGTAGACTTCAGATTTAAGTGTGTCATTTGAGACAATTTTTGCATGTGGGTCATAGATCAACGGTAACCAGCAAGAAGTTGATGAGTCAAATTTTTTGTCAACTTTTGGCTGGTGGAGTGGACTGGTCAGGTATTGAGTCGTACAAGTGAAAGTATGTCATGAGTAGAGACTTGATATGTTAGAATGAGTGAACTAAGTTGGTCAATTTGTCCAGCCAAATCTAAAACAAGCAAGCTGAGTTACGATGAACTTTGTACTCGGTTCTGTGTGAATTTGCTCAGAAGCTCAATTAGTTGACATCAAAACATGCTCCTTTTGTTCCAATTTGTTTGACGGTATTTTATTAGGCAGATATAAAAAGAAAAAGTTAATACCCTAAAACCCCCTTAAACTATCACATTTTTGTCTATTTCCTATTTAAACTATTTAGTGTCCCCAAAACCCCCCGAACTATATTGCCCTTCATATTAAAACCCCTCGTTGTTGAGCTGGCATAATGTGTGTAAAGACTCCCTTGGTAGCGCGTGGCAGCTGAAAAAAGCTATCAAAATGCCCCACCTGACAGAAAATAACTAATTAGCCTGCCCCTCTTTCATTTTGTTTTTTTAATAAATATTCTCCTTATTTCAGTTATATCCATCTTTCTTCCTCATGTTTTCACCATTCTTCCTTATTTTTTCACCTTTCTTCTTTATTTTTCACCCTTCTTCTTTATTTTTTAACCTTTTTTCCTTTTGTTCTCCATATTGGTTTCCACTAAAAAAACTTCTCCCTCTCATATTTCCTCTGAAACGATTTATTCTCTTTCTTGTTTTAGTCTTCTTTCATGTCTTACACATATTGTTGAAAGAATACCAATTTAAATCTTTCTTATTAAACTCAACACCTTGTAGAGAATAAAGTTGAATCACTTGAACCTTCTTTATGTAACATGGAATTAGAGAATGTAATTGCTGGCCAATTCATTTTTTATTTGCGAAATTTTATTTGGTGTAATCTTTTTTATGCAATAAGATGATTTTTAAGAGATGCAACACTATATACCTTTATTTATATTTTTACTGTGCTACAAAGTGAATATAAATAAGGACTTATCAATTGGTGTCTAGCATAAAGCACAATCACAATTAAACATAAAATTAATACAGTACATTAGAATATTATTTTTGCCAAAATCCCTAGAATTAATCAATCATTCGAGAATTATGAGTAAACCTACATAAGAAATTTTGTACAAACCATAAGTTAATATAGTTAGATAGACGTACCTTTAAAGTTTTAATATATAAGAAAATATAGTGTAGGTGGATTTTGGGGACACCAGATAGTTTAAGTAGGTCCTGACAAAAAAGTGATAGTTTGGCGGGTTTTAGGCTTAGTTAAATAGCCACGTGTAGTGCTACATGGCACGTTTTTTAGACAATTAGAAGCGTGTACTAGATGCACATCTAAGAATGCAATGAGGGGGTTTTAATATGAAGGGCAATATAGTTCAGGTTTTATTTTGGGGATATCAAATAGTTTAAATAGGAAACTGACAAATACATGATAATTTAGGGGGATTTTAAGGTATTAACTCAAAAAGAAAAGGAGACATAAGCTAAATATGTGTAAGGTGCCAAAAGTTTCCTTATCAATTATTTGTTTGTGTCTAGTGGGACCTTACAAGTCATGTCAATTGCGAAAAAAGAATGTAAAAAATTTAGCATAAAATTGGTAAATGTAAAATTAGATGGTTTCTGAATAGGGAAGTTGCCAATATTTTTGGGACAGACAAAAATGGAAGAGTGCCAAACAAGTTGGAAGGAATATTAAATTAAAGAATCATATAAATGATGTTTTCTGATCCAAGTTCAAGTTGAGTCTGAGCAACCTGTGATTATTCAGTGCCCTAATTACTAAAAAAGAATAATGATAAGGAAAGAGACATCTGGTAGTTGGCCATGAAATCACCAAGTAGTCTTTTTAATTTCTCTTTGATCATATATACTTATTAGTGATTATTCTAAAAAAATCATCTAAACTTATAAGTGATTATACATTCACTTTTCTGATAGAACTTTCTATTTCTCTTAAGGGTACAATATGATTTTGTATTAAACGAGAAAGAGAAGAGAAGATGAAATTAGGAATGAGAATACCTGCGTCTGTTCAGTCCATACAAACTCTGACCTTTTTTCTAGATTTTGTTTTTTCCAGTCCATAAGTACACATCTCGTAAATAATACTCCGTATATCTTTTTATATTAAAGAACAGAATTTCTGGATATGAGATGTGTACAAAATATTCTACAAAGATTTGTTTTTCATTTTGGACTGAATTTGCTTATGCCTAATAGAGTCAGAGAGGTCTATGAAGCATGGGGTCTCAGGAGAGTTGATAAAGACATCAAGCATATCTAGCTTATGGCGCCTGCTTATATTTTTTGGTGTATTTGGATTGAAAGAAACCACATATGTTATGGTATTCAACTTCTAGGAGCTGCCTAAAAGCTAAATGTTTGGTTAACCTTTTTAGTTGGGTGAATCTTTGCCCTGTAATTTGTCAGCTCGTTACCCTTATGATAGTTTTTGCCGTTTGTAGCTGACATTTTTCCCTCTTTTGTAATATTTGCATCTTCTTCATGCCTTTTAATGACATTTACTTACCTTATTAAAAAAAAACAAATTTTACAAAGATGATTTCTTTTATTTACCCAGTCATTTATACAAGTGGGGACATCATGTGTGCTCCAAAAGTAAATGATAAACAACAAAATCATTTTCATTTGCACTATGGATCTCTCTTTTCCTTCCAAAACTCTCCAGTTTCTTCCTCTGGCAATTTTTGTTTATCAGAATGGAATCTCTACATAGTTACACAAAACCTTTTCCAGTTCTCCATCTTCTGACAAATGCCATATTCCCAAGCATCATGCATAGCCTTTCCGAAGTCTAACTTGCTGAAAAGGCAAGATCTTTCTTATTCACTCTAGAGTCCACTTATTCAATTCTATAATCTACTTTGCAATTAGGGCAGCATCTTATATATGCCGCCATCTCCATCTACAATTGGTATTTGTGTCCAAGATATCAAAAAGAAAATTCTACTGAAGAGTTTAGAGAACATAACAGAGTGGGTAAACGTGTTTTTCGCTTAGGTGCCCAACACACTTAACATAAATTCAGCACTGTTAAGTGTTAAAAAGGAGGGGGAAAATATGAAATCAGATGCCTTCTCAACCCACCACCCTCCGGTTCTGTGCAACGCAGGCTCTTTCTCTTTATACTGATTGTTTGATTTATACATTTGAAAAAATCAACTATCGGATGTTGTCTTGTTTGTAAGCTTTATTTCTTTCTAAAGCCTCTCCGTTACCTTACATAGAAAGATGCAGTTATGGATTGGTTTGGCTGTGAATTTCCCTTCCATTCTTGCTCGGTGTTAGTTATTTAGGGTGAGTTTGTCAGTTGATCTTGCTTCTATTCTACTTCTTTCTGGTTCAGATTCTGACTATTTATCGGAACTGGGAGCATAGATGGAATTGCAGTGGATAGCTGTTGCTTCCTCTTTAACCTTCTACTGATCCACTTTCTGTTAGATCCTTCTAGCGGAAGGGAGAAAGCAGGAAGAAGATCAGATGTAGCTATATTTGCTTGATCCCACCTCGGGACTTGTAGGATCTAAACATTTTAATTGATGCCCAAGCATCCTTTTTGAAGGTGCTTTCTTGCCCTATCCTCCCTCCTTTTGGGACAGTAATTACTGCTTCCATCTGTTTTCAGTCCTTAGTACGTAAGCAAAATAAGTTCTAGTTTCCAAAGCTAATAAAAGAAAGGAATTGGTGTTCACATACTTCATTTGCAATTAGTTATCGCAAAAAGTTCATGATTGTTTTATGAGGCAATGCAATTAGTTAAAAATCCTAGTTCGTCTTTTTCTGAAAATGTTTATATAAGTTCTTCTTTCCTTTCACAGGCAATGCTTTCAATTTTAGATAGTCGAGTGAATAAAGCTGGGAGATTAAAAGCTTTGTATGTGAAGACCGAGAACGGTGTCCTATTTGAAGTAAAAAAACCTCATGTTCGTATCCCTAGGACGTTTAAACGATTTGCTGGCATTATGTGTAAGTTAAATTACCTTGAGCAAAATTTCTTCACCCATCTCTTTTCATGCTTATTACCATCTCTGATTTGTCTAATTTTGCGGTTTTGTCTAATTTTGCGGTTTTCTGATGTTGCTTCAAATTCAGTGCAGCTGCTACAAAAGCTGAGCATAACTGCTGTTGGTAAGCGAGAGAAACTGTTACGTGTTAGAGAAAACCCTGTTTCACAGTACCTACCCATTGACTGTCGGAAGATAGGTGAATAATTTATCTATTTTCGTTCCTTCCTTTTCTAATGGAATGTTCTTGACAATTGACTAATACCCCACTTCTCTTATGCATCAGGCTTTTCTCATAGTTCCGAGAAACTGGTGGATGTTCAGGAATATGTTAATGGCATCAACAAGGACATGAACCTTGTTTTTGTGGTATGTTCTAGTGTAATTTTCTATAGACAACTTCCTTTTGTGTGAAGTTACAGTTTTCTTGATATTTGACATATGCAGGTTGGGGCAATGGCCCACGGGAAAATTGATACAGATTATGTCGAAGATTATCTATCGAGTACGCTAATCTTCCTCTTTTCTTGTAACTTTTTGTCCAATCACAACTATAGTGCTATTGTGTGATTTTTCTGCCTTTGTCTTGATTTGCATAGCTAGTGTTTAACGTGTAGGAATGTCAACATCTGTTACTTGTGTCTGTATGCTCAATTGATGACACTAGGGTACTATTGATCTTCCTTGAGAGTAGAAGTACTTCTTGAGAACCACTTATTACTTTGGCAAATGAAAAGTAAATTGGCTGCGGCTAGTGCAGAATGTAGATATGGTTGGAATGTCACATAATCTTTGATTTTGTGATGTTATGCTAGTATATTCCATACAAAATGTATTGTAAAGTGAGAGATTGTTCTCTCCCTATGAGTTGTTCTGTTCAGTGTCACATGTCAGCTCTGAAGCAATACAGGCTCTAAACTGCATCTTAACCTACTTGACCATTCTCAGAATATGAGAGCTCATTATTATTATACATATAAGTGACAAGTCATAGTCTAGGCTCCTTCATTTCTACCTACCCTCTGGAAGTGTCGTATGTATGCATATCCTATGTAAATGCTAAACTAGGTCCATACTGTTTGTAGAATGTTATCCTTGTTTGTTTTTTTTCCTATAGGTTTTTCTGGTTGGTTAATCTATTATTATGTAAAATATTTAAGAAGTGTTAAATGGTTCTCTTCTACATTTGGAATGCCCTTAGCTCGTTTACAATCAATTTGAAACGGCCATCATCTTCTCATTGTCATTCTGTGTTGGAACTTTTTTGTTCAAGTTTTTGTTTTTTTTGTTTTGTTTTTGGGGTGACAATCAAGCAATCTCAGAAATTTCCAGATTGGGAAATTCTGATTTCTGACACCTTGTGGAGGTTCTGTTTTTCTTTTATAGCCTTAATGAACCAGGGTCACGAAAAACTTAAATTTGCAAAGAACGCTTTTATAATGACAAAGACGCAAAATATTTGAGATGAAAGAACATTATCACACGCCATTTCAGACCCTAATCGCTAGATTTCCCCTTTTCTGATAAAAGTGATAATGGAGGCATGACAGCAGTATAGTTTAACTGGTTATACGAAGTTAGCAGGTTGAAATCTTTGCGAGTTTATGTAGGTTTGCCCTTCTACTGCACCGATTACCATTCCTAATATTTTTTTTTTTTGAAGTGTCAGCCTACAATATTTAGACTCACAATTGGGAATCAATAAGTTGAAGCATATATCAATCGGATTAATTTATCCAAAAAATCCTATTATGGGTAGGCAGCCTTCAATCCGACGAGACATATCATATCTAAGTTTACAGTGGAGTAAAGGTAGTATGTAAGTACACTATGAGATCTTAATGCTATTGCTGGTAAGATAGTAAGGACATGGGATTTAATACTCAAATTGTGTATAACTAGGCACTTTTAAGGGTAACATGGTTTTTATAGCCTTCACAAGTACATGTCACTTCTCTTTTAATAATAGTACAAATGAAGTTTACAAAATTGAGCATCAAACTGGAATTTGGGGCAAAAAAGCTAGTTTCTCTGCAATGTTGCGCAGAAAAACAGGGTAACGGCCAATCTCTGGCCCAAGTTACAGCATTTCAACATTAATATACGTTCCCCTTCTTTCTTTCCTTTCTATGTGACATGAGTTATCTCTGCTCATTGTCCCAATCAAGGACCTGTAAGTAGGTCAGGGTTTGTGGACCGTGACCTGCCATCGTTGTGAGGTATTTCCTCTGGAATGTCCACACTAGCAACAATGTTGGCGGTCTGACTAGAGGACGATGGCTCTACGTTAGACATTTCTATTCTGGATTGATGACCACCTTTCGTGATCGGGGATATTTCAGGTGAGTCCCCTGGACTTCCTAATTTTCGTGTTTCTACTGGTCCAGGCTTTGTAGGTTTCTTCTTTTTTGCATTTTTATGCCAATTCATCAGTGCCTTGGAAGTTTGATCATCAAATATAGATCTTTTCATAGTTGATCCCATCTGAAAATTCCCAAAAAAGAAAGAAAATGAAGCATTTAACATGTTTTTGAGTTTATTTTGTAATGAAATAAGTAACTTCTAGTTACCTGGGTAACTAGTGCATACAGCGGAAGTGTAATGTAACTGCACAAAATTTGAACACCTAACCTGGACAAGCAACTCTTTTATCAGCTAGAGTAAGAGTGTATGGTAAAGGAACTTCAACTAATTGGTTGCTTTTGGAACTTAACACAATGAAGATAAGTACTTGTTCATTACCCTATAGCAACTCGCAATAAGGCAAGATAAAAATTATCGTGAAAGCATGAATGAAGCCCGAATTCATACTGCAGAAAATGGAATATCATCATGTTACACCACAAATGACAAGAAAAAAAAATGGAAATGAATTTTTGTCCGAGGAAAGTGTCCTTACCGATATCCAAAGGAAATAGGTGATCTCGAAAGCATTCTGCAAAACATAAAGGAAAAAATTTAGCTTAATATTTGCTTCCAACGGTATGCCTTGGACAAGATATAGCAGGTGGCGCGGAGTACCTGAAAGAGGGTGAGATGGACAAGATGAAGAATAAGCTTTGGTTTGCCAAACCAAAAATGTCTGTCTGAAACTTGGACAAGAGGTATGCCTTGGACTACAGCATGTCTTTCTTGAATTTCAAGAGCCATTTGAGCTATAATTGCTTGAAGCTTTGTCCCAACTGCTAATATTATCTTTAACCAATCCAGTGGTTAGTTCTCTCTTCATTATAAACAAAATAGAATGCAACAAGTAACCAAATTATGATAAGGATTTCTTACAACTAGAGGCAATATGGACAGCCAAAACATAGCTTGCCATCCTGAAACACAATATATTTGTATTCGAAATCAAAACTGATATAATTCTTCTGATTGGAATTACTTTCAAGAGACAATATGTCTTAATAGAAAACAATCGAGGTCCCTAGAGTTACCATGAACATTCATCAGAAGATAAACAACTGCAGAAAACCATAGCAATGAACTGCAAGTATAACAAAGATAAATCATTAGTAGCACATCAAAACCTGAGAAAGACTTAAGTTATTTTATAAAATGACACATAAAGAAGATGAATGTTGTTTAGTTCATGTCGAAAAGAACGTACTTGATACCCACAACAATCTTGAAGTCATCTTCCAGGGATCTTTTTATGTACTTTTGAAAATTAAACTTACTTCCAGGTGCTAAATGGACCTGCAACAAGAGGAAATCAATAAGCAAAAGAACAGTAATTTGATTGTTAGGAGCCTTGTATTTGTGAACCTCACCGAGATGAAACCATGGCGCATGGTCAAGTAGTCAGCTTTCCGAACTGATCTAAAAAATTGCCGAAAAAAGCACACCTGAAAATATTGGCAAAATAGGTATTTACTATCACATACAAACCTATCAAAGCCCCCATTTATTCATCCAAACATATTGATAAAATATCCAAAAAAGAAAAAGGCGGGTGGTTTAGTTTTTCTTACAGAGTAGAAAAGGATTGGGGTGGTCCCAAAACTGGTATTATCCCTAACAAATGATGTCTCTTTGGTAAGCCTGAATCTTGAGGAATCTGCATAGAAAGGTCACATAAGAAAGAAAAGAAATACAGGTGAAGAATTAAAGATTAAATCCCTCTTGGTTTAATGTGAAATGTAAAATATCCTACAAAGGAAGAGTTCTTAGATCACTTTCGCCTAGATGGTTAGACTCAACATAATCCAACAATAGTATAGGATAGCTAGGGGCATGGGGGAATGGCATTCAATGACTATAGTGAACAGCAAAAATTGAAGCTAATCTTCGCACCTAATAGTTCTAGAGTTTCAAGATTAAAATTTCCTAACACCCCCTTAAAAATCTTCAAACTTGACTTACTTTATAAAATATCTGTAATTTGGTTGGGTCTACTTCCTGCATAAGAGCAATCAAGGACATGTACGATGGAGCTAAGACTAAGGTTAGGACTGTGGTAGGTGACTCGGAGCATTTCCCGGTTGTTATGGGATTACACCAAGGCTCTGCGCTTAGCCCGTTCTTATTTGCCTTGGTGATGGATGCATTGACACACCATATTCAAGGGGACGTGCCATGGTGTATGTTATTTGCTGATGACATAGTTCTAATTGATGAGACGAGGGTCGGTGTTAACGAGACAGACCCTCGAGTCTAAGGGTTTCAAATTGAGCAGGTCTAAGACAGAGTACATGGAGTGCAAGTTTAGCGCTGAGTCGAGGGAAGTAGGCAGGGACGTGAGGCTTGGATCACAGGTCACCCCCAAAAGAGATAGCTTCAAGTATCTTGGGTCAATGATCTAGGGGGACGCAGAGATCGACGAGGACGTCACTTACCGTATAGGGGCGGGCTGGATGAAATGGAGGCTTGCATCGGGAGTCTTGTGTGACAAGAAAGTACCACCGTTACTCAAAGGTAAGTTGTATAGAGCTGTGGTTAGACCGGCCATGTTGTATGGGGCAGAGTGTTGGCCGGTTAAGAACTCCCATATCCAGAGGATGAAGGTAGCAGAGATGAGGATGTTGAGGTGGATGTGCGGGCACACTAGGATAGACAAGATTAGAAATGAGGATATTCGGAAGAAGGTGGGCGTGGCACCTGTGGATGTCAAGATGCGGGAGGCGAGGCTCAGATGGTTCGGACATGTGCGGAGGAGAAGTCTTGATGCTCCGGTGAGGAGGTGTGAGCGGTTGGCCGTGGTGGGTACGAGAAGAGGCAAAGGGAGGCCTAAGAAGTACTGGGGAGAGGTGATCAGGCAGGACATGGCACGTCTGCAGATTTCTGAGGATATGGCCCTTGATAGGAAGGTTTGGAGGTCAAGCATTAGGGTTGTAGGCTAGGGGGTAGTAGGGCTTTGCGTACGTCATACCGGGGGTGAGGCGGGGTTGGATTAGGGTTGATCTTAGATAACTTGCAGTTTATGTTTCCACACTATCCTTGCTGTTTATCTTAGCCCCGGGCCTTAGTTACTAGTTACTGTTATTGCATGTCATTTATCTTTTGGTTGTTATGCTTCTGTTACTATTATGGTTTCTACTGGAGTTACTAATGAATTGTCTCCTTCTCTTTTTCTTTTTTCTGAGCCGAGGGTCTATCGGAAACAGCCTCTCTGCCCTATCGGGGTAGGGG